AGTGTAACCATTCCGTAACCAAAGTTTGGAGGCATTCCGCACTCGACACGGGACCCTTCGGTAACCAAAGTGTAACCATTCCGTAACCAAAGTGTAGCCATTCCGTGACCAAAGTTTGGAGGCATTCCGCAATCGACACGGGACCCTTCCGTAGCCAAAGTGTATCCATTCTGTAACCAAAGTTTGGAGGCATTCCGCAATCGACTCGGGACCCTTCCGTAACGAAAGTGTAACCATTCCGTAACCAAGGTTTGGAGGCATTCCGCTATCGACACGGGACCCTTCCGTAACCAAAGTGTAACCATTCCGTAACCAAAGTTTGGAGGCATTCCGCAATCGACGCAGGACCTTTCCGTAATCAAAGTGTAACCATTCCGTAACCAAAGTTTGGGGGCATCCGCAACCAAGGTGGGACTCTTCCCGTAGCCAAAGTGTAACCAGTCAAAACCATTATTTAGCCACCCGAACCAATTTTAAGATGCTAGATCTTAAAACCACAAATTTAGGCACTGTAGTGGTTACAGCCAAAAAACAAGTCTCAAGAATAAGTTTGGTTACTACATAGCCACCTGTTGCCCAAGGCTAAAGTTGCGGTTATTAACCATGGCGATTTTTTAAAATGATGCCCTTAAGATGAAATATCTTAAAAACGGATTTCAGCTGCTCCTGTTCTTCCGCAACCTCGGGGAAATGGCGAAAGAAGGTATGTGCATGGATCCGCATGGATCTCTAAGGTTTCACGTGTTACGGAATGGTTACACTTTGGTTACGGAAGGGTCCCGTGTCGATTGCGGAATGCCCCCCAACTTTGGTTACGGAATGGCTACACTTTGGTTACGGAAGGGTCCCGTGTCGATGGCGGGCTGCGGAATGCCCCCAAACTTTGGTTACGGAATGGTTACACTTTGGTTACGCAAGGGCCCCGTGTCGATGGCGAAATGCCTCCAAACCTTGGTTACGGAATGGTTACACTTTGGTTACGGAAGAGTCCCGAGTCGATTGCGGAATGCCTGCAAACTTTGGTTACGGAATGGTTACGCTTTGGTTACGGAAGGGTCCCGTGTCGAGTGCGGAACGCCTGCAAACTTTGGTTACGGAATGGTTACACTTCGGTTACGGAAGGGTCCCGTGTCGATTGCGGAACGCCTCTAAACTTTGGTTACGGAATGGTTACACTTTTGTTACGGAAGGGTCCCGTGTCGATGGTTACATTGTGGTTTCGTAAGGGTGCCGTGTCGATTGCGAAATGCCTCCAAACTTTGGTTGCGGAATGGTTACACTTTGTTTACGGAAGGGTCCCGCGTCGATTGTGGAATGCCTCCAAACTTTGGTTACGGAATGGTGACACTTTGTTTACGGAAGGGTCCCGTGTCGATTGCGGAATGCCTCCAAACCTTGGTTACGGAATGGCTACACTTTGGTTACGGAAGGGTTCCTTGTCGAGTACGGAATGCCTCCAAACTTTGGTTACGGAATGGTTACACTTTGGTTACGGAATGGTTACACTTTGGTTACGGAAGGGTCGCGTGTCGATTGCGGAACGCCTCCAAACTTTGGTTACGGAAAGGTGACACTTTCGTTACGGAAGGGTCCCGTGTCGATTGCGGAATGCCTCCAAACTTTGGTTACGGAATGGTTACACTTTGGCTACGGAAGGGTCCCGTGTCGATTGCGGAATGCCTCCAAACTTTGGTTTCGGAATGGTTACACTTTGGTTACGGAAGGGTCCCGTGTCGATTGCGGAACGCCTCCAAACTTTGGTTACGGAATGGTTACACTTTGGCTACGGAAGGGTCCCGCGTCGATTGCGGAATGCGCCCCCATTTTTACCCAACAACTTTTGGTTTTGGAATGATTACGCTTTGGTTGCAAAAACCATCCCATGTTGGTGGAATAATGCCTCCCAACTTTCGTTACGGCATGGTTACTCTTTGGTTATGAACATTGACATCATGTTTTTGCGGGATGCCACCAAACTTTGGTTATAGGGAATGGTTACACTTTGGTTTCTGCATTGCGTAGCACGGTGTTGTGCTCGGTCCTCTAGTGTTGTTTGTTGCACGCTACAGGATCGTAATGCTTGTGTGACCAAGTGCTGTGCTTTGTTGCAAATTGCAAAGCCAGCAATGTGAATGGTGAGTGAGCGGCTACGCTTTGGTTGTGAACATGTTTGCCTTGGCCATGACGATTATAATGTTTACACATTAGCCACACACCATGATCACCAGTGGCGCTTGGGTGCGAAATGCTGCCGGCTTAGCCATGTGGCAGACTGCTGCAATGTGCAGAGCGCACGCAGCAGACCAGTTCCTGTCCCTCCGCTTTAATATTTGTCCGAAAAAGTCAAAACAATAATTGTGAGTGTGGTGCTGGCGTACTTGCAGACTGCGTTGCCTGGACGACTTTGCAAACAAAGGCTCACTTGAACAGCAGGCTAGAACGTCGGCGTGGTTCGGAAAATCAGGCATTGAGGAGATCTTGCCAGAAAGGACTCATAATGCTTTCTGAACGGCCTCACCGTTTCAAGTTCAAAGGTGTCTCTTAGGAGTTGGTCATTTAACTGGTATCTGAGTACTGGTTAGCTACATTGAGCAAGAAGTTGCTGCGGTGATGGTGTGCTAATTGCTAAGGTGACTGTGTAATGCTCATGAATGAACACGGAAAGTAGGCTTCGTGTACTGGCAGCTGGCCATGGTGACAGGATACTGGTGGACAAAGCACGAATGGCTTCCAACGCAATGCCAACAGCAACTCAAGCTGGTTGTGGGTGAAACATGATAAGCTGAACATTGCGGCTAAAGAATGGAGTTGAAGGCTCTCCCAGCATCACAAGTGAATGGCTCAGAGCGATTGTTTGTCAATGCCTTGCTCCCAGGCATGTTGCAAGATGTTGTTTTTACGATACCAGATAATTATACAACTGACGGACAATAATTCTCCAAAGGCAGGAATTGCGGCTGCGTGCCTTGTGGCTCCAATTGTCCAACAACAAGGCCAACTTGTCTAACTAAAATTGCACAAACACGTTGGTTCTGCAAGTGGGCATTCGTCTCCACATTCAACTTGCAAAAGTGATACCTTGGATCCACCTTGCTGCCAGCTCCCACTTTGCAAGTGACATGCCACGACATGTAGCATCATGCCATTGTGCCGCATGTTGCGCTTGTCAAAAGCCAGCCTCGAAAACTCCAAGCCCAACCAGCAGGCCCTTCGCAGCTTGGAAGCCTTTCTCGTTTGCTTTTGTGACAGCCCCTCAAACATGTAGGGCAAAGCACAAATCAAGGACATCACTGCACCAAAACGCTGCGGTTGACATTTTGCTGCTTTCGACAACCTTTTTACAGCGCTGCTTTTCTTTGTCGCACCCCTGCTAGGTTAGGCCGTTGATTAAGATAGCTCGCGGGATTCCATAAGGCTCGCCCAGCCGACGTAAGGAGGCAACGGGCCGCAGCGCAGCAGTGCCTTGAGCATGCAACATCTGCGCCAGTATCTGAACTCAAGCTGGCGCGCGCTCGAGTTTGCCTGAGCTTGCTTGCCGCCTAAGTTCTGTTCGGCCGCGACTTGATCGCCGCGGTCTTGCGAAAATCATGTCGCAGTCGAGCACGAACTGGGAAGGCACGCTTGATCGCCTGACTGCACAGAATTGCAGTCACATGAAATCTCTCTCTCTCGCTATTCAACTATCGATCGCTTTTCTATCTACCATCTCTATCTTTCAATGTGTCTTTCCACGTTCCACATTTCTCTCTGTCTAACCTGCGAAAGTTCTGCGCGTGCCAAGGAATCTTTACCAGACCCTGCGAAAGTGCAGCGCCTGCCCCGGAAATTGTACTTGACCTCGCGAAAGCGCCGCGCCTGCGCGAAATCTGCACCTGACCGTGGGAATGCGCCGCGCCTGCCACGACCTCGCGAAAGCGCTGCGCCTGCCACGAAATCTGTACCTGGCTTTGCGAAAGTGTTGCGCCTGCCATGCAAAACTAAGCCTGCGAAAAGCGCGCGCGTCCGCGCCTTTGGGCCCGGCACCCAACCCGATCCGAACACGCTTCGCGCGCGTCCGCAGGCGCTCCAAGAGCGCTCCGACAAGGTGTCGTGATCAGGCTAACTTTTGAGCATCTTACTAGAGTATCGACGAAACCAGGAGAGGGCTGCACTTTTAACTGTCACATTTCTATTTCCCTGCCACACGCGCGCTATTTTTTCCGCGCTCCTATTCCTTCTTTTTGCGCCTGTCTCAAACAAACAGCCTTCAATTAGATGCCTTAACACGGAATTCCTTCTCAACTTCCATTGGAAAAATGGGCGGACACTGCAGTACAAATTCAAACAAGCCACGGCAGGCAAAGCTGCCATGAGAACACAGTGTAGCCAAGAACTCAGAATCCGGTAGGTCTGCACTTTAGGGGGTCAACTCATAACAAGACCTGAACACTACAAGAATGGGCAGTCACTGGGGCACAAAGTCAAAGGGGCCGCAGCAAGCAAAGAAATAATCAGAAGCATCCGCTGTGTCAAAAAGGAAACGAATCCCTGCTAAACACTACTTGGCACAAGTTCAAAGGGGCCACAATAGGCCAAAGAAAGAAGCATCTTGTGTGGTTCAAAAGGTGCCAAATTCTCGCGGTCACAGTCACAGCAAGCAAAGAAAGAAAGAAGCGTCCGGTACGTCAACATTGCGGATGGTGCGGATGGTGCGGCTGGGACGGCTGGGGCAGATGGCACGGGTGGCGCGGATGGCGCGGATGGAGCGGATGGCGCCGATGGAGTCAGTGGAGCGGATGGCGCAGATGGTGCGGATGGCACGGACGGGGCAGATGGTGCAGGTGGTGCTGCTGGAGTGGATGGCGCGGATGGTGCAGATGAAGCAAATGGAGTGGATAGCGCTCGTGGCGCGTATGAAGCAACAGACGCGGATCCAGCTCGCAATGCAACATGCTTCCAGCCCCCGTTTTCTAAGCTGCTCTTCACTATGCTTTTCTTGTCCATCCAACTCGGGTCCGCACTTTTCGCTGGGCAGCTGGGTCAGCAGCAGGAAGGGTGGCATGCGCAGGTCGTCAAAGCGCAACACCTGGAGATACCATCTGCAACCGACATGCAATGACCAGTTTGCAGGAACCCTGGTGTTCTGTTCTGAATGACATGACCATCTGTAGCCCCCAAACAAGGCCATCACAGCCGCGTCTCTGCGGAACTCTAAATCAGTGTGGAAGGGTGGCGTTCCGTGGCCCGTAGGTTGCGAATCCTGGGGCTTCGCTATCACCAGCTGCGCTGGCTGGCCCTTCCACTTCCCACCCTTTCCCGCAAAACCCTCACCCTTCCCACCCTCTCCCACCCTCTCCCACCCTCCCCACCCTTCCCACACCCTTCCCACACCCTCCACCCACCCCGACTACCCTAGCGTGCGCCTGCGCGCGTGTCCGCACATGCGTGCGTGTCTGCGTGTGTGCGCGCCCCGTGACACGTGCATGCGTGCTTGCGTGCGCTCAAAGCCAATCCCCGGCATCCCCTCTCAGCCCCAGACAAACCTGTGGCAAAAGGTATTTGCGATGTTTGTTCCGCATTTGCAGAAACCCTGCCAACTTGATCGCAAATATGCCCGCTATGCCCGCCAACACCTAATCTGAGGGGGTCATCTGAGGCAGGGATGCAAGGGGTGCAAGAGATGCATAGGATGCTGAAAAGCTCAGATGCTGATGCAGGAATGTTGGGGGTGCTGGCGAAGCTGGCGAAGCTGGCGAGGATGTCGGGGCTGTTGGCGGGGATGCAGGAGACAGCTGGGGGTGAACTGCACGGCAATTACAGTGTGCTTTGAAGGTTGGGCTGGGCTGGCCTGTGTCCGGCTGCTGAGGAGCTTCTGGCGCAACAAAGCACGTCAGATTCCCTACGGGCAGGGTTGCCCTCGCTCTTCGGGCTTGAAGTGCCAAGGGTTGCGTTCCAACAAAGGCTTGTTCATCTTCGCTGTGCAGCAAATCCTTACAACTGTCAACAGCTCTGAGCTAAAAACAACGCGCGCGCGCGCCACGTAACAATTTTGCTGGCGAAGCGCCTTGCGAAGCGCCTTGCGAAGGCTTTGCGTAGCTTGGTGCGCTTGATGCAAGATACGCTGATGGTAGTTGGCGGGAAACTCGCAAACTGATGCGCGAAAATCTGAGAGCTTCGCAACAATCCTCCCCCTCGTGCGCTCAGACAAGGCTGGCAGGGAATCACTTGCTCAGGAGGCCAATGGTGACGCAGCTGCGCTGCCAATGCTGAAAAGCTCTTCAGCCATGCGACTGGGTTGCGCTGGAGGAGGTTGTGAGAGTTGCTGGAACATACCTGTGTCCTACCTACATCGGCTGATAAACGGCAACCGCGACAGGAAGCCGTCGCACATTAACACAACGCCTGGGCTCAAGCTATCAGCAGAAGGCTGGCTGAACGGGGTTGCTTTTAATGACAGCGGCGAAACCTTGCCGAAGAAGGACTCTGGCAGAAAAACACGTTTGCCCGGGTTTGGGCTGGAACCTGAAAATGCGTGGTGACTAAATTTGAGCTCCCGTCGTCGCTTGTCTAACTAACGGCATGGCAAGCACATCCAATTGCCTACGTGCTGCATGAACGGCACCACATGATGTGTGCCCCATGTCTCCCCCCAAGATGTTCCCCCGTATTTGTTTTGATAAAAGTCACGAATAAGCGCGTGCTAAGGCCAAGTTAAGGGTGTTTGTTGCTCAAACATCAACTACAAACTTGTTGCCCATTAGCCGCCTAGCCTATTGTGTTTACATGACCTTCTCTGGACCATTGCGTCCTGAAACAAGGCAAAGCTGGCTGAAGGTGTGAAAACCAGTTACCTCTCCCGCAAATCAGCTAGCCCTTATTAAGCCCGAAAAGATGTTTGGAGACTTGCTTGAGGCAAAACGCCACAATGTTGAAGCCATATTTTCCGAGCCCTGCGCAAGTTTGCTTGGCAAATAGCTTGAGGAAACGTATTGGCTGGGGAGGGGGTGGAAATGGGGCACACATGAACACATGAGCTACGGCAGCTAGTTCGGTATGTATTTTTGACGTGCCCGCGCCGGGAAGTTGGTATAGGTGGTTTTTCGTCGAGGGTGTGGTTCGGGGCCGGGGTGTGCTTCGAGGGTATGGTTCCGCGTATGGTTCGAGGGTATGGTTCGGGGTATGGCTCGCGCGGCTCTTCTTGTTTGTGGCTTTGGGCGCTGCAATTCTTGTTTACATTGGCAAGCAGATAGCCGCGAGAAACCGAACCGCTCAGTTGCCACAGCTAGCCTCTGACGCTGCTAAGAACGGGGTGAACTGGACAACTGCGACAAGCTAAACAGCCGTGGCACTCAAGGTATGAATCGGGTATGAATCGGGGGTGTGACTCGCGGGGAAGATTTTCGCTAGCAGAAAGACACAAAGCGAGCAGAACTAAGCAAGCCCTTCACGCCATGTGGAGCTATGAAGCAGAGCAAGTTGACCCGCGCGCAGTCGGCACAGGTTTGGTGAGCGGCCAAACTCAGAACCGCGTAGCAGAAAGGCGAGAAGTCCGTCACAAAGCCCTCAAGGCTTCTTGGTCAATTTGATCGACCCGCGCTCGCCGGAGCGGCAGTACACATACCAAAGCCAAGCGGGCAAGTCCACCCCTTGACGCAGCAGCGAAAGCGCACTTGGGAGAAACAGCCAAAACAGCCAAGCAGCTCGTGCGAGCCTGCGCGCTTTTGAAACGCAATTACGCGAGTGTTGCAATAAGCCGGCCCCTGCAAACTGTCAGCTGGCACGTGACGAACCGTGACCGAACCTGTAGCTCTTACCCTGCAGGCAACACTGCCTGGCAACAAACAATTTATCGCGTTCCCCGCAGGACCTACTTGCATACCCTTAGCTAAGGCTTTCAATCAGGCTTACACGGTCAGCAGTTCTTGAAGACTCCTCTTTGGACTTTTCTGGGTATGAATTGGGGTATGGTTCGGGGGTGTGATTCGAGGGTGTGGCTCGCCCAGGTGTAGACTAAAGAATGGGCAGAGCAAAAAACCAGACCCGTGTGTTGCTTGGTTGAATGGTCGGATGTTGCCACCTCCTGCGCCTGTTTGCACCTGCCTCGTTTGCGGGTGTTCTGACGTTGTTTTGCACCTAATTCAGCATGTTACCCAAACAATGTGTCCGCGTGGCGTTTGCTGAGCCACACTTTCAAATCACACCAAGGCTGTTTAGTGCGCACGGACAGGACCGTTTTGTAGCGGGTTACCATCAGAAAGTGAGAAACCCTTCCTGAAACAAACAAGTCAAACCCGCGTTCCTGAAACCAAACGCATTCAACAAGGTCCAACGCATAAATTGTCAGGCTTCGGCAGCGCGCTTTCCACCCTCAATCAGTTCGCTCCTCTTCTGGCTCAAGACCATACCTTGGCTGAGCTGGCCTCGCTGCCTAATTGCGGTACCTCTCTCCCATCACAAATCATGCGAAACGAGACTGCAGGCAACCCATGGGCTCCGGAGATGGCCAGGACCTGTTGTTGCGACCAACATCGTGAAGGCAAATGTGAACAGTAAACTTCTGCGCATGCCAAGCGTGATGCCAACATGATTTTTTGCTGGAACTGCAACTGATTTGCGAGGAAGTCCAGCTTTCTGCCGTACCAGCATGGGCCATCCCCTTGGCTACTTTTCTGGAACCCCTCTCTATTTTCAGCACTGTGACAAGTAGCTTCAACGTGGAACAATTTAGGTGGAGCGCCCTGAGAGAACGGAAGGCCAAAGCACATCTGGCATCAAGTGTGTGTGTGGAAGCGCTGCTGGCCCAGCTCAGAAACCCTTCAAACTCTTCCCCGATTAACAGATGCACTTGATTTCTAAAACCCCAAATACCCCAATACTCAATTGAAATTGACAAAAACTAAGCAAATTCAAAACGCACAAATGCTCGGCGACTGCAACTCCAGCCATTAGGAGGCATTTTAGAACCAGTACTAAACCAATACTAAAGTGATAATATCCGGTCATTACTAAACCAATTTCAAGCTAGCCCGAAACCGAGCGCAAATCTACACATGACTTCGGCTTGTCCTGATTGAGCCCCTTTCTCGGGAATGGGCCTTCTAAGTGAGAGTTGGGCTCGGAGGCGGGCATTTGGACGAGGACCCCTGGCAGACGGTGTGAAATCTGACCCGCTCACTTCATCAGAAAAATCTGTATTGGACGCGCGCCGTGGCAATGGATCATCACCACATATGCTCGGGCAACTTAAGGACTTATAAGCCAGTCACAGAGAACTCATGAAAGTTAGCTGCGGGGAGGTCAGGAGGAACATAAGGGTTACTTACAAGTTGTTTAACGGTTTACAACTTTTTCGCTATTTAACCCTTTTTTTACAATGTTTGTTCGTGTTGTACGTGTCTTTATAGCGCGCCTTGCATCCAATTTCTGCAGCCATTGTGGGTTCGATCGCGGGCATCTGGCAATCTGGCACGATGTTTGTGTCACGTGTAGCGAGGACCTGGAGAACACCAACCCCATTCCAAAGGCTCCAGCGTTCAGTTTGGCCCGGCTACAGCGGCGCCAGCTGCTTGCGGTTCGCCAGGGCCGCATCTTGAGCCTGACAACTCACAGTGTTCGCCAGGGCCTGGCTCAAAAAAGAAAAGCGAAAAAGAGCCTGAAAGAGTTGCCGGCGAGACTTGATTCCGAAGGCGACCCCGTTGACCAAAGGTGAAAGGGTTTGCTGCTTGGTAGGTTCGGCGCAGAAGGATATTTCGATCAAGCCATTGCTTAGGGCAGGCTTGGGCGGGGTTTGAGTCTTTTGGGTTGGCCAAAACAAGGGGTTTCTTAGACCTTTTAGGGTTGATTTTGGGCGGTTTAAGAAGTATTTAGTTCTGGTTCACTGCGGGCTTGGGGTTGAGCTTGCGGTTGGTTACGGTTGGTTAGGGTGGGTTTAGAGCTGCAGGGGTGGTTTAATTGTGGTTTAGGGTGGGCGCCGGCTTGATTTTGGATTTGTTTACGTTTGATGGAAGGTTGGCTTTTTTGATGTTGAATTTAGGGTTGCTATAGGTTAGAGTTTGTTTAGGGTTGGTATAGGTGTGTGTTTGGGTGGGTTCAGCTGTGGTTTTCGTGAATTGGGGATTCTTTAGGGTCGTTGGAGTTTGGGGTGGCGGAGTCAGGGTGGGTGTAGGGTTGGTTTAGGCTGGGTTTCGGACGAGTGTAGGGTTGGTTTGTTTAGGGTTGGTTAGGCTTGGAGAAGGGCGGTTCAAGGTTTGGCTAGGGTTTGGTTATGGAGTTTAATGTTTCTTTCGGGGGGTCAAGGACGCTTAAGCGTTGGTTTGGGGCGGGCTTCGGGGTGGTACAGGGTTTGCTCAGCGCTGGTGTGGAAAGCCAAAGCCAGAACAACCGCCAAAAGCAAGCAAGAAGCCGCGAAAGCCAAAAGCACCCGGGGACACAAACACCACAACGAAAACGTAAAGGCTTGGAGGGCTTTGTTGAGGTCAACATGATTCATGAGGGAGGGGTGAGAGCCAATGATCCTTTATGATCCCTCCAAACTCAGAACAGGTGGAGATGGCCTCGGCTTTTGACACGCTCACCTCTCGTCAGAAAAGGGCAGCTAGGTCTTCGATGGATAAACACAAGGACTATCAACCGATGGCCCCTTGCAGCCCAGGCGCAACTTGGGAAGACGAGACAGTCGTCCTCCTCAAGCTGACACTGCAACATGTTCTCTTCTGTCATCTCTCGTCCGCGCGTTGAGCACCGTGCGGTTTACTGGCTGTTAAAGCACCACCTTTCCAGCCATGTCGACTGACTCCGCTTTGAGCGCTTGGACTTTTTTCTCGAAGGCCAGAAAAAAAGGGCAAGCAAATTATTGAAACTTTGAAGCTGGTCAAATGCGTCGGGAGCATGCCCTGCACCATTGCTGGCGGTGCTTCGCTATCATGAGCCAGGCCGATACTTCGGGAAGGAGTGACTCAACCTCCCAAAGGCAAGTAAGTCTACTTGGCCTATCAACCCGCTCAAGAAGGCAAGAAGGCAAGCGCTGGAAACCAAGGCTGGCGGCTCCTGAGCAAGTCGAGCCGGGCCTTCCTATCGCGTGCTCGCGTGCTTGCTCGGCGTGTAGGCTCATTCCCCCGACCGTCTTTCTGGCCTTTTGCAGACCCATTTGCACGCTCCATGCTGTTTTGTCATATCGCGAACCTTCCCGCTTTTCAATCGGAAGCTTGCCCAATCTCCCTGGCTCGCCTTGGCTAGCACGTGGGAACAAACACGGGCCATGAGATTACTGTGTCTGGACGGTTTGCATCATGGGTGAGGGAACCAAATTAGGGGGAACGCCGGAACGGAATCACGAAAATGATTTCCGCTGAAACGACTCACACATGTCCAACATCAAAATGTCCAAGCCTGTTATCTGAAGGCGCCTGCTCAAACTGGTCACTTGGAGACCTGAGCTGCCTTGCTACATGTTAAACACTCTGAGAAACAAACAATCTGTAAATCTTAACACGTGCGTAGCTAGTTGGAAAAAGCGCCCACAGGAAACTCCACAGCGGGGTAGCATTTGGGTTCCCAAAATGTATTTGGGCAAGGCTAAGCCGCCCCCGCAAATTACACCAGCAGAGACCCCAAACAGTTGAGGGCTGACGGGCGAGCACAAACATGCCAACAGCTTGTGGCTTTCTGCGCTTCAACACGGATGAATCAAAATGATGCAGTCGTGAACCTGGCGCGCGTTGCGTTGCTGCACGTGTGTTGCTGGCGTGCTTCGCGCTTCAGCACCGCGCCAGAACTGAGGTTGGGCAAGCGCGCGCGATGGCGGGCGAGCGCGCGCGCGTGAACGCAAGTGTGGCCGCGCAAGCACGCAGTCACATGGGCAGTTCAAACACACATGTCCAATTCAGACACACATGTGTGTACACGTGGAACACACATACGTATACGACTGAAACAGTATACATTCACCTGCGGCACACGCATAAATGTGTTGAGCTGGAAAACAAACATGTGCTTCTTGGAAAGCACACACACACATGTGCAAACGTGGAACGCACATATGTGTTCACTTACGACACGCTAATGCGTTCACGTGGAACACACATGTGTGTTCACTTGGAACACAATGAAACGCGTGTCCAATTCAGACACACATGTGTGTACACGTGGAACACACATGCGTTCACCTGGAACACAAAGACGCGCAATTAAAGCACACATGTGTGTACGCGTGGGACACACATATGTATACCACTGGAACACAAACATGTGTCCACCTGGAACACCGCGTGTGCGATTAAAGCACACATGTGTGTACATGTGGAACACACATATGCGCACACGTGAGCAAACATAAATGCTCACCTAAATCGCACACACATGCGCGCACCTCGAAAACAATCATGCGTTTTCTGGAGCGCATACATGTGCACACCTGGAGAGCAAATATGTCGTCAGATGCCAAAAAAAGTTCACCTAGCACATACTAATGTGTTCACGTGAAACACACATCTGTTCACCTGGAACACAAACACGTGTCCAATTGGAACACACATGTGCGTACACGTGGAACACACATATGTGCACACGTGAACACGCATATGTGCACACGTGAACACTCACATATATGTGCACCCGGAACACACACCCGTGTGCTCATCTGATAACAACCATGTGTTCTCCTGGAACACAAACACGTGTCCAATTGGAACACGCATGTGTGTACACGTGAACACACATATGTGTACACGTGGGAGACGCAAATGCGCACACGTGAACACACACACATGTGCACACGTGGAACACACACATGTGTACTGCACATGTGAACACACACATTTATGCGCGCGCGGAAAACACAGACACACACGAGTGTTCATCTGATCGTGTGATAACAAACACGTGAACACACATATGTGTACACGTGAACACACACATATTTATATATATATATGCGCACCCGGAACACACACACACGTGCGTTCATCTGAAAACAAACATGTATTCACCTGAAACACAAACACGTGTCCAATTGGAACAAACATGTGTGGACACATGAACTCACAAATGTGTACATGTGGAACACACATATGTGTGCAAATGAACACACATACATGCGCACGCGGAGCAGACACACACACACACACGCGTTCATCTGCTAACAAACATGTGTCCTCCTGGAACACAAACACGTGTCCAGTTGGAACGCACATGTGTGCACGCGCGAACACACAATGTGTGCCGTGAACACACATACACAAAAGTGCACGCGGAGCAGACACACACGCACGTGTTCATCTGATAACAAACATGTGTTCTCCTGGAACACAACCGTGTGTCTAATTGGAACACAGACGTGTGTACACGTGAACACACATATGTGTACACGTGAACACACACATATATACGCGCACCCGGAACACACACACACACACGAGTGTTCATCTGAAAACAAACATGTGTTCACCTGGAACACAAACACGTGTCCATTGGAACACACATGTGTGTACACGTGAACACACATATGTGTACACGTGGGAGACGCAAATGCGCACACGTGAACACACACATGTGCACACGTGCAACACACACATGTGTACTGCACATGTGAACACACACATTTATGCGCGCGCGGAAAACACAGACACACACGAGTGTTCATCTGATAACAAACACGTGTTCTCCAGGAACACAACCGTGTGTCTAATTGGAACACAGACGTGTGTACACGTGAACACACATATGTGTACACGTGAACACAGCACACGTGGAACACACACATGTGTACTGCACATGTGAACACACACATTTATGCGTGCGCGGAAAACACAGACACACACGAGTGTTCATCTGATAACAAACACGTGTTCTCCTGGTGACACAACCGTGTGTCTAATTGGAACACAGACGTGTGTACACATGAACACACATATGTGTACACGTGAACACACACATATATATGCGCACCCGGAACACACACACACACGTGCGTTCATCTGAAAACAAACATGTATCCACCTGAAACACAAACACGTGTCCAATTGGAACACACATGTGTGGACACGTGCGCTAGCGCCTTGCTAGCGCGCGGCTAGCGCGGGTTCGCCGTATTTTTTGGAGTCACGGCGACCATCTGTGTGGATTTGACAAATTAAGGCCACGTAAGATGAAGGTAAACGTGCGGGCTGGCTTCAAGTACTAAGTAAGAACTGCAACATTACACCCTTGAAAGCCACGCAAAGCCCATCGCGGCAACCCACGCGCCAACTCTTGGAAACCAAGATCGCCGAAGACCCTAGCGCAAACCAAGCGCCATCCTAGCGCCTCCAGTGGGGAGCGGGCAATCCATTGGTATTTGCAGGACTCCGCTTTGTGTGAATGAAAGACTGCACAAAGTGACTGCGACGGTGGCCTCTGTAGACTAAACCCCCTTACTAGGAATTTTGACCGGATCGCATATGTGTTTTATCAGAACAATCGCATGCTTTCACCTGGAACACAAACATGTGCTGACGTGGAACACACTCATGTGGTCACATGCAAAAAGTGCGTGTTCGCTTGGAACGCGCCGATGTGGTCAGCTGGAACACACCAAGAACACACAATCATTTACTTGAAGCACTCGTACGCGCATCCGCAGCATGCTGCCTGTGGCTTGATCAAGCGCACGCGCGCGCTCAAACACACGTTTCTGAGCCTCAAACACACATGCGTGCCCGCGGAATACACCGCGAATGACCAGGGAGCCGTGCCAGGCATCCAGGCTGGGGGACAACAAGAAGGAGACAAAGGGAGACAAATGAACCCGTCCGCCCAGAGAGCCGCGCCAGACATCCAAGCTGGGAAACAAACGAATCCGTCCACCCAGAGAGCCGTGACAGGCATCCAGCCTGGGCTGGGAGACAACCGGGGCCAAATAAAGGGAGACAAAGGGAGACAAATGAATCTGTCAGGCAAATGAACAGGTGCCAAGAGCACCACTGGGTATCTCGGCGTATAACAGAGCCTTCTCGTAGCTGAAGCCGTGCACCGCAGCGCACCGCTCTCGTCAGCTCGGGACTCCAAATGCGAGCAAGGACAGAGAGAGGCCGCAACTGATAACGAGGCACTGAACGAACAGACAGGGTGTAGCCAACGATAGACAAGGAAGACGACCCACCACGAGCCCAAGCAAAACCGAAGTCCAGATGAAGGGCAGACAGAGGACCCTGTCCCCAACATCCACAAGACAAGGAATGACCGAAGCCAGGGCCGAAGCCGAAGGCAAACCAGACCCCGCCAAAAGGACAGAACCGCGGGAAGTGAAGGAAACCGCGGAGCGTGAGTGCCACACATCCAGGCTGGGAGACAACGGGAGACAAATGAATCCGTCCACCCAGAGGGGCATCCAGGCTGGGAGACAACGGGAGACAAACAAAGGGAGACAAAGGGAGACAAATGAATCCGTCCACCCAGAGAGGCATCCAGGCTGGGAGACAACGGGAGACAAATAAAGGGAGACAAAGGGAGACAAATCAATCCGTCCACCCACAGAGATGGGAGACAAATGAAGGGGAACCAAGGGAGACAAGTGAATCCGTCCGCCTGGGGAGCCGTGACAGACATCCAGGCTGGGAGACAAGGGGAGCCAAATGAAGGGAGACAAAGGGAGACAAGTGAAACTGTCCACCCAAAGAGCCGTGCCAGGCATCCAGGCTGGGAGACAA